AAGTCCATAATTTTGTATAAAAATTGTTATCTTTTTAATGAAATGTTTGTCAATGAATTTTAAATGAATAAATTTTATTTGATGAAATCATTTTAAAGTTGAAATAATGATCAAAATTTATCAAATTTTTTTGATAAATATCAATCTAAATATACAACTGGTATATTAAAACTTATTTCTTCATAAGCTAAAAGCTTGAAAATTAATTTTTGTGAAAGATTCAAAATAAAATGATTTAGAAATTTAAATAAGATTTTACATTTCAACAAGAATTAATAGTATCAGTTTAATAATGTATGATCAGTTGAACGCACAATGAAATATACGCCACATAGGTCTCAAACACTATATTAAATTGACACTCACCATCAAGTGCAAAAGCGTAGTGGTGACCTTGATAGAAGTAAGTAGTGCATTGTTCGTAGCATGCAATAGGATGGTCGTTGTACAACCATCTATGAACAAAGCTATTAGAAACGTACAAAAAGAAATCCACATACAACTAGATCTTTGAGCTAATTGTAATCAAATTAAATTTTACCAAAGACCGGCGGAATTTGCAATTTGTACAACCTAAGATTGCAAGATGAAATTGGCAATTCACATACAAAGCAAGAGTTGTAGTGAACTCTGCACATTCTTTGAACCATGATTTGATTTACTTGGACTCACTCGTCATCTAAAAATGAGTCCGTACAATGGCAAGAGTTGTGTGTTAGATGACATTGACATGTCCACTGCTCAAACAACGAGAGGAATAGCCAATATTTAAAAGCCGATATATGAGTAGGCTAATTTATTCAAACGAATTGAATGCAATTTAAAGAATTTTTAATCCGTGATATTTTTAATAGGACAGTACTTCATGCCTCATAAAAGTATGCATTCTATATTTAGATGCCAAAATTGCCAAAATTAATTTTGCGTCAGTGCCAAAATTATGTCGCAATAATTTGCAGCTGCAGCCGCCGGAGCAGCTGCGGCGAGCGAGAAGAACCAACAAAGCAGACATACGACAACAAGCTGCGGCGCAGCTTGTTGTCATCAGCAGTACTCGCCGTCATCGTCAAGGATTCATGAGTCGACACATGCCCTTCTAGGGCAAGCATGCCGTCGAGTTTGGCCTCGCACCCGTGAAAAAGTTCCTTGATGGATCAATTACAACCGTGGAATGTCTATTCTGCGTTCAATTTGGGTGAGAGCAACAAGACGGTCCGGGTGTGAAACGTAAGCGTACACAGAACGTGCAACTCTTTCAGTTTCCGTTTCGACCGGAATATTACAAAAGTCATATGAAAAAGCAACACCCAAATGATTGGAGCCAATACCAAGAATTGTACCAACCCAAAAAAGAAGCATTTTTCAAGAAGAAGGAGAGGTCGGGCACTCATCTTTTTCTTGACAAGGAATTGAATTGTCTGCAATTTGCGATATCGCGACCTAAAATTGTTAACAATGTCATTGGAAGCCTGTTTTTCCATATGGAGGAAGAAGAGAAATCCGACAATGCCATTCCCATTACGAAGGCGAACGCAATGAAATTATTTCATTTGCAGCAAGACGGTTCATTTCTTGCAACCATGAAGAATAGTATGTGTTTCAATCTGTACATTCAACATGTATCGGCGGAGTTGTCATTTTGTCAAACTACCATAGTGATGAGGCAGCATCGAAACGAGTCCAAGAACCTCAAGTTGGCTGGCCTGAGCGATCACATGGTCGGTCAATTTGTTCGCGTCCTCGTCGCCGTTGCCTTTCAAACGATTTCAAATATCATAACGATCCGTGGGTTTGGTCCATTTCGCTAGCGGTTGATGCCAGTACTCACTTTGGTATTCCTCTTCTAGACCAGCGGGTTCGTGTTTTTGTTCGTGGAGTTCTTTACAACTTGCATCCTGTATCGGATCCGTTTTTTGAACGACACACGGCGGTGAACTACGTCAAACTGATCAAAGTTGCACTGAATAGCCTCTCTCCCATTTGGCGCAATAAGGTCATATCCATCGTGTCGGACCGGACGACACGGAGGCGTCATGACACTACTAGAGCGCGAGTGCTCAAATCTAGTTCTTTGTGTGTGGTGCGTCCCTCACCAACTAGACATTGTCGTCAAGAACGCTACTAATGACATCCTCAACGAGAGATTTTACAAGACTGCTCACGCCTTTTCAATGCATCTGCACGCTCAGCAGAACTTAATTACAGATATGGGCTCAAAATGCCGAAGGATACGATGCACTAGATTGCATTCGGCCGCATGTTGAGTTGGCTCCTTTAGCACCATTGCCAATTGATGGAACATGTCGCCGACAAGCGACCCGTGAAGGCACCGTCCGATCAATCGTGGATCATCGTAGCAGCAGGGTCGCCCCTGTTTGATCGCATTCAAATTACGTTTAAAGCTATCATGTCTCCCAACCTGTTCATTTCTCAGCAACGCCCAAGAGATCTTGAATCTGATGGCGGAATAGATAGCCAGGCTTGAAATTTGCCACGCTCGCAACAATGAAATCGATCCAACCACCATTCATTACATTTCATTTACGGCTCGCTATTTATCGAGAACGATGCCCTTGTTAAGCACGTGTTTGATTAAGGCTCGTGGGTGCGAGACCTGTATAGCTCGCGTCTCCAATCGGAGCAAAAGCACACCTTGCATCAAATCGCTACATTTGCTATGTTTTTCATCGAGGAGGGCTTGCGGATCTAGGCAGAGCGTGATTTCGATAATAACGCGAGGGAGTTGGAGGCTACTCCGGTCATGACTGCCGATCTCGTGAAGCGTCGACCTGCATCATTCATTGCAGAAGTTGAGATACTTATCATGTTCATCTCAGCAAGCATTGGGATTAGGATGACATCGATCAGGTAAAACGCGATCATCACCACCTTCTCGTTGTGTATGGGTGAGAGCCCGATCTGAAGGCTGCATTGGATTTGCATAATGAGAAAACAATGTTCAATATAGCTTGGGATGTTTTCAAAGTACGTTTCCAACATTTATGTCAATTCTGTAGTGGATTGGCAACCGCGTTCCCAATCGATAGGGACAGGGATTTCTCCATCGTGAAATGACAAATGGACAGCACCCGCCAATAGCTCACCCGTCTCTTGTTGGCGGGTACAATGCATGCAAAACAATTAGAATTGCTTAAGCAGATTGAGAAGAAGATGAACGAATAATTGAGAACGGTATCGGGTAGGGCAAATTTTTAGTGATGAAATCAATTAAAAAAAGACCAAATGCGGAAAGTGCCGAAATTAATGTTCTGAAATTGCCAAAATTAGTTTATTTTAGGCAAAATAGGTATCTGCCTGAGGCCCGCAGTACCCTTCAGTTCATTGGAGTTGTGTATAATACCGGGAACGACGTAAATCGTATGGAATCCGCATCTCGAATCTAAGGCTGATATCCAGTTCTTAGAGAAGAATTTTCGTTTACTCACTCACAAATTCGGAAGAAATCCTCGCAATCAGTTCATTAACCAACCTGATTCACAGCTAAGAACTGATCCAAGTTGTAAAGATTTGCGACTACCGGATTCCACTCACATCGCACGGATGTCCACGACGCAGTTGCTTATTTACTTTCAAAAAGAGGTTTTGTTCCGAAAATGTGAATTTCTCAACTCATTTTCCTGTGAGCGAAGCAAACACTTATCAGGAGATGGTATATCGTGTACATATATTTGAGACAAGTGTATTTCGTGAATTATTCGAAGCTGTAAATTTCGAGGTGTTGAAAAAATGGTGTGCCTTTTGGAGGAAGTACATGTGACAAGAGCAGAGGCGGAAGTCAGATACATGGATGAGTACATAGATCTCATTCCCCTAGACTAGTTATCACCTGGAGAATACCAGATGTGGGTGGTATCAGACATGTGCGAATGCAATCTAGCCCTGAAGAGCAGGCCATGCTAGACTAGCAAGCTACCGGGCTGCACTGTAGATTTCTAACTTATACATCCGAGCTTTCCGTTACTCGTGAAGAGAACAAATTAAGTCGAGGAGTGATTCTAAGTCATTCGTCTGACGGTCAGCGCCTTCAAACCTTGATAAAACTGGGTATTTTTTCCTACAGATTTGAGAGAGCAGATTCGGGGTGAAGTATGCATTCCTCGGAGTAAGCCATAATGCCTTTTGCACAACAAAGAAGAGGGCAGTTGGATCCTGCTGTCTTGTTGGATAATCGAAAACACCAGCCAATGTATACTGAACTTGACGCATTATGTATGCCACTGCAGACAGAGTTGAGGTCGGTGGAATCTAAGCCTGCATCTCGTTTTTAGAAGAACCTGATCCCTCACTTGCAGCATCCCTTCCAATGTATGCTCCTTTCTTATTGAATTATAGAGTGCTTGAAGTGAGTCCTTGAGTGCAGCTCAGTCGTGGAAAGTTCCAACTGGGCCAGAGTTTACCATACAAGATGAAGCCTGTCAATGGTGCATAGATGCAGAGTGCTGTTCGGCTGGGTTATATATGAAAACTTATGCCAGCCAGTCACCCTAGCCAATATACACAAGCAGCCTGTGTTCGTCGAGGCAACCATTGAGCTTTTCAACAAGATTCCGAAACCAGGTGCTAACTGCAGTCAGGCTCGATAGAAGTTTGAGATCCCCACATGGAGGAGGAAAGGTCTCCAATTCCTTGGTTTTCCAGGAGTTATGCCGGGTCAGTGGCGACTGGAGTCGGACCATGAAATCAACACCTATAAGAAGATTGCAATCATCGGATCATTCACAGTTGACCTCTCCCAGGCTTTCAGCACCAGCTTCTTTCAAGCTCGGCTGAGCTAGCTGCTTAACATAACGGTGAGCAAAGGAGTAACCAATTCTCATACTTTGATATTTCGACTGGTCCGTGTAATCTAAGGTGGATTCAAACTTCTCATGACTTGCACGTACCTCCATAATCAGCATCTACTTTTGCGTCTGAAGTTTCTGACTGTACTTCGTTCTGTCCAGAGATACTTCAGACTAGATTTAATTTTGAGGATCGAGATGGCGTCCTCAATCTACCTTTTCATGGGACTGGCAATTTTGTACGCTGCCACGGCAGACGCGCAGCTATTTCAGAGCTTCTACGCAAAGAGCTGTCCCGGTGGTGTGCAAGCTGTTGCCAACTTGGTCAGCGCGGCTGTTCACAGTGAGAAGAAATGCCGCCGGCCTTCTCCGATTGCATTTCCACGATTGTTTTGTCAATGTGAGATTTTGTTGCTTCGAATCTACCAGAATTCTCTATTCAAGTGATCATGACTCAGTCACATGGTCAACATTTTAGACTTCCAGAGTCTTCAATATGCAAAACTTCCGATGTCGAATTGTCAGCTCGTCAAGTCATGCAGCCATTGGTGACAACGCTAAAAACTAATTTTTTTTCTGCTGCAGGGATGCGATGGATCAGTGCTTCTGGCTTCAACTCCTGGAAATAAGGCAGAAAAGGATGCACCATCAAATCTTTCACTTCAAGGATTTGGAATCATTGATCAAGCGAAGGCAGCATTAGAGAGAACTTGTCCCGGTGTTTTCTCGTGCTCCGATATCCTGGCTCTAGCAGCTAGAGATGCCATCTCCACTGTACGTTCTGCTCTGACCTTCTTCCTTACATGTTTCGAGGAAGACAACGACTCACTGTGTTTTAACAGAGACATCGCTTACGTGTTTCAAACAAGTGGTGTGACTCCTCATAGCTCCATGGGGAAGCTGTTCTTCTTCTTCTTTCTTGGTTGCTATCATCCTCGACAGCCATTTGCATACACTGGCTTCAGGCGTTTCAACTGTGCAATTGATGGGATTGCAGATTGGAGGTCCAAGCTGGACGGTTCCTCTCGGTCGAAGGGATGGAACGATTTCGCGCGCAAGTGCCGCGTCCAGCAATCTTCCGGGTGATGGGTTCAGCTTCAGGCAGCTTCTTCAGAACTTTAACAGCAAGGGCCTCAGCCAATCGGACTTGATCGTACTTTCAGGTGGACTTAGGAATTACCCTAAATGTCAAAGTTCATAGTTAACCATCACAATTATATAATATTTCCCAATGCCATAACCCCCAGCAGAATATGCAATTCATCCACAAATCTTGATCTTGCACTAAAATGTGGGTTTTGGTGCAATTCAGGTGCCCACACAATCGGACTTACCCACTGCAGCGAAGTCACTCCCCGCATCTATAATTTTCCCAGAAGCGCGAGTGGTGCCGACCCTTATGTCAACATCACTTACGTCACGGAGAAGAGAGGAGTGTGTCCCAACTCCGCCAGCAGTGCCAACAAATTCGTCACTCTGGATTCAAGCAAGGGAGGCCAGACCTTTGACATCAACTACTTCACTAACGTTCTGGACCACAAGGCCATCTTCAAGTCGGACGATGCTCTCATCTCCACAAGCAGCGGTTTGAAGCAAGTGCTGGATCTTGTTCGATCCCCGAGCTCGAAGTTTTCAGCCAATTCGGGCTGGTTATGCAGAAGATGGGAAGGATCCAGGTCCTGACCGGATCTCAGGGAGAGATCCGCAAAGTCTGCTCCAAGAAGAACTAGAGCATAAGCACTATATGGTTTCTTAGAGTTGTTAAATTGTTTTCGTGGACCCAGACTAGACTGTTCTTAATCAAAGCACTTAGAATTGTAAATGCTGAAACGTATAACGTCCCAATTCTCTTGGTGCACCTGGTCATTGAGGACCTCATGCTTCAAGACTTCATGAAATGGAACGAGAAAAACGCAATTCGAGAGAGTTCTGAGCTAGCTAGGAAGTTTTAGTAGATCTCTAGAATTGTTAGGAAGAGTAAAAATGAACACTGCATTTCCCTCAAAAAAATTTCTTAAAGACCTTCGAAAGAAGGTCTGATGCGCTAATGATGTAGCACGCGGACATTCCTGAAGGCACCATTCTTTGCTTCGATTGCTTTTGAGATCGAAGCCCACATTTTATTGATTTCGTTGCCGTTTCAGCACATAATAAACTGAACTACAGCCGTTTACTATTGGAAAGTTGGAGCGCAGAATGATCGAATGCATTATCGAGATTTATCTCCTGTTCTTGTTTATTTTATGGCGTTATCACATGCATTGAAGCACATTCTCCAACAGGTAACCTGATTCACGTAGTATTTATGTTTGCAATGGTCGCCAATGATTTTTGGACAGGCTGACGTCTTTGTCTCTCATTGTAACTTAATGCTACTCCTTGTTAGGTGCGCTGATTGGGTGGACTTGAACCTGCGGAGCAAGGTTCCTGGTTTCGTAAAGTAGTGTACTTAAACACCATCGAGACTAGCCACCACGCTATTTGATTATTTTCCCTCTGTAGTTAGGCTGATAAACGTGATTAGGACTGTCCTGAATGGACTTTCAGTCACCTCTGTTGATTCCTAGAGCTGCTTTGAGGATAGAGGTCAGCCTCGTCCTTCATGAGTTCACATACATTTCTGATGAGGATGAGATTGAAAAATGGAACACTTTCTGATGCTCTCTCGTGTTTTTTTGAAAGCCTGATCTTCAAGGGTCCTGATGAGATGCTGAGGTTCGGGTCGGACCAAGTCGAACCAAGGTTACTTTTGATATTACTTGTTGCTTTAGTAGTGCATCCAGCTCGCTAGAAGTTTTTAAGCAGGACGTCAAAAGGATTATAAAGTGCTGAGATTGAAAAAATTAATATGACTAAATCTGTTCAAACGTGCACACGATTCTGTAGGCTTAGCTAATCAGTTTCCAGATTCAACATCAAGAGCAGCGTATTCGAAGTTTCTTGATCATAACGTCTGACTGACTCATTGACGTCTGGAGTCACGTGGAGGTTGGAGTATATTTCTATTTATATCATACATAATTCAATCATTCTGAACAGCATGCAAACTGCATATGCCGTTTAGATTTTCTTAAGACTATTTTCCTTTGAGAGGATTTTATTTAGGCGTAAACATCACCGAGACATAGGCTAGTTGTCGTAGTATTTTAGTGAGTCCCTTTCTTCTTTGGCTGTCGTGACAACGTACGCGAAACCATTTTCCGTTCTCGCTACACCATTGCCCATGTAGTTAACAAACCCATGAAACATGACATTCTATGCTATTGGATGTTGACAGCAAGAAAGAGGGCAGCAAACGTACCGAAAATGAAAAGGAAGACACATCAAGTCCTTTAGGGATGAATCGAAACTATTTACGCGCCTTTGTCTCAAGAATTTCACAATGGAACATATATACTTCTGAATCTAAGATATCCAATTTATAGAGGTGAAAATGTTTACAAACAGCAGATTCCTTTGTGCTAGCTTGGATGTCCGTGAAGATCACAAAGGCTAACCAAGCTCATCACAAACCTCAGGAGCACAAGAGAGAGAACCAAACTGGTTATAAAAATTTATTCATACGATGAAGAGAATGAATACAGCAATGTGGTTGTTGAGACTCAGTCATTAATTACAGTAAGCATCTCCTGTCCTCTGCTTACTGTCCAACTCCTAACGAATCAATTTTACTATTTTAAAAGGCTACATATTCTGATTGTTAGAGTTTCAATTGACAATTGATTCTTGATGGCCGGCAAAAATGACGATATGAGGAGAATCGTTCCGAGGATGACCGTACATCGTCCAAGAAAGATCATGAAGCTACTGGTTCTGCTGTCTACTGTCGCTAAATGTTAGAGATTTTAAACTGAGCATTTGCCCTCGTTCGGAGCAGAGAGTTCTTCAATTACATGCCAAGCCTTGATGTTAGCTTTCTCGTTTGAGCTGAGCAAGCACTTAGTCCTCAATGAATTTTCTAAAATCGAGCAGGGTATAGCTGGGGTTCTTCATTCACCGTATCTCCTGGAGCAGAATTTGCGAACTTGTCCATAGGGTGCGAAGGTGACCTTGAGCCTTCCGAGTTTCTCCATGGCCAGTGCAAACTCCGAAAAGAACTTGGACTGGGATTTTGAGAGATCCAACACCTTGTTTCTGCCATTCCATGTGGAAATGAGAGCATCATCGGCTTTAAACACGGCCTTGTGCTGCAGAACATTGGCGTAATAGTTTGTGTCGAAGGTCTGGCCTCCCCGGCTGACATCCAGAGCAACGAGATTCTTCGCTGTGCTCAAACTGTTGGGGCACATCCATCTCCTCTCCCACACATAACTGCTGTTGAGGTAAGGGTCTGCACCACTGGCGCTACCAGGGTAGTTGTAGATGCGGGGAGTGACGCCGCTGCAAGGGGTGACTCCGATCGTATGCGCACCTACATCGCACCAGAAGATCTGTCACACTTGTTTCCAGCATCTTCAAGAATCTCTGATGGAACCACCTTTAGAACTTCCAAGCATGGGTGATGTGCAGGCAGTCATGAGTAGCATTGTAGTGAAAGAATTATCACACGATCGTTTGGTAACATGCTGCCTACCTGAAAGGGCAATCATTTCGGCTTCGCTGAAGCCATACTTTCTGAAGTTGTCCCAGAGCTGAGTGTAGGTCATATTGTGTCTGGGAAGGTTGATAACTGCATTTCTCTCTCGAGAAGTTGATCCATCCCTACGACCGAGAGGTACTTTCCATCTCGGTCCTCCAATCTGCACAACCAATTTTTTCAACAAGTCGATTTAGGAGGATGAAAAACCGACCCAACTACTGCAGCAAGACACCTCAGGAATCAGCTAGCGTGATTTTGGAGTATCGTCTTTGAACACAGGTTGAGACCCCTCCCGACTTGAGACTGCTAAGTTCATCCATATGCAACGACGAAAATGAATATATCGATCGACGTACCGCAGTGATGGCATCCCTCGCTGCCAGGGCCACGATATCGGCACAGGAGACAACCTCCGGGCAGATTCTCTCGAGTGCCGCCTTAGCTTGATCGATGATCCAGAACCCGCGGAGGTTGCGATTTGGAAGTGCATCCCTCTCTGCCACATTATATTTAGTGGAGGCCAGCAGAATCGAGGCGTCGCATCCCTACAATGTAGTACGACGTTGAGTCAACCCAAGATCAAGAGACACAGGCCGCTCGGTGAAAAAGCCTTGGAAAAGCAGAGAGAAGAACTCATTCGGGTCACACGATACTTGTCAGGAAGAGAATTTTGATCTGGCATATTCTTCGGATGTATCGAAGGCCTGAAGTGCATCCAGTGACGAGTGTTGGACTTACAAGGACAAAGCAATCGACGAATTGCAGCTTGAGCAGAGCAGCTGCATTTCTCCTGTCACTGCGAACGGCGTCGTTCACAACTTGTGCAACAGCTTGCGCACCACCTGGACAGGTTTTTGCGTAGTAAGTCTCGGACAACTGAGCGTGCCCCATGGTCGCGAACGCCACTGCCAGTCCAATTACCAGAAGCATAGAGGACTGTATTTGGGCCACCATGATTGTTCGCTCAATGAATCTGTCAAGGTATCAAGCAAATGTGAAGGATGAGAGCTTGGAGGTTGAACGAGAATTAGAAACAACACGTCGTCATTGAGGTCTGTGAATTCAGCACAGCAGAAGGCACTGCTGCTTCACTGATTCGCTAGACAACAAGAGCAATCGATGTAATGTCAAGAAGAAGTAGCTTCGGGAGGCGCTCTCGGTGAATTCTAAGCGGCTGCGACTCCTCGGGTGCCGAGCAGCACAAGAGAGATGAAGGTTAAACTGTGAATGAGCTGAAGCTGAAGATTCGTGAGTGTGTCCTGCCGGGGCCGGCTTTTGAAGTGGTTGACTGCAGAGTACGGTCCCGGACTCGACATTCAGCTGCAAGTACAAATCCGAAGCAGCAATCCAGGATTCACGCCTCATCCGTGAACACCGTGAACAACTCTTTAGTCGAGACTGTGCAATTTCTGTTCCCATCCGTGGTTCGATCCGTGCATTTTCAGCACTATTAAGCTCATGCTTCAATAAGGAATTGCGCTCATACCTTGGCACGTGGAATGTACCACCATGAGCGGTGACCTCACTGAACTATTCAGATCTGGCAGTGACAGTAAAAGACGACAAGACGGAGGATTTACAACTTCCACTCTGAAAGCGACAAGGTTTGGACATACTGTACTGCAGTTTGACCGAGTTTTAAAGGGCGGTCAAGCGCACGGCCTTCCAGTTGACTGTAGCCTTAGATCTGACCTTGAGCATGACGGCAGCCACTTCATGTTGAACGAGACGCCTCGATTCCGACCTTGAAGGAGCACGTTCGTCCAACAGTCTGCATGAAAGCAGAACAGTTTTAATTAGAGATATGAATCAGTCAAAGTCAAAGGACTCATGATTTAGAGATCTTGCGGTTTGCTCGCTGATCACAGTACGCTGAACCATTTCCACATATAATTAGCACTGTGTGTTCAGTTTATTAGCACTGTGCACGATTGAAACAATGCTTGTCTTCTCTGTTCTCAAAGAAAACTCTTCCCAAGCCTTACGCCAGAGGTTTCTCATTCGAACCTGCTTCTCTGCTCAGGTACCCATCGATCGAGGGCTCGAAAGTCATTAAGACAATCTCAAACGTCATGTGATTCTGATCCATAAGTCCCAGGAGGGCATGGGTGATGAGCCGCACCTTGTATTATTTCTGAGGCTGCTACCTCACGAGCTTTGTCCGGATCTAAAACTCTTCTCAGGGCGAATGTAATTGTGGACGATCTTGGCTGCTCCCCAACGCTGTTGGGAAAGAGGTGGAGGATACATATGTCAAACGTACAACTCAGTAGAAGGGGCGTAAAGGATACAAGGAAAAAGTAAAAGCCCTGTGGCAGGACAGGCCATCCCCCAGTCTCCTTTCACGCCTTGAAACCATCGTTTGGGTCCGCAACAATTTTGTCTTCAGCGCGATGGATTAGAGCAAACGCAGCGAAGCCATGAATGCCCCTTCGAGCGTTCAAAAGTTCCATGCAGGACCATCTTCCGAAGATCAGGACACGATCCATCGTGCTCGACCATGATCGGACACAACGGAAGCGAAATTGACATAAGTTCAAGCCTAGGATTGCTCTCCTTTTTTCACATCCAGTTGCAGTCGTGTTCTTCATACAAATCAGGCTCGATGGAAACAATCACTCACAAAGTGAACCATGATCATTGATGTCCGTACTTGGACCGTGTTGCTTATCGAGGCTCGCACCTGGTACCTTGTACCTTATGCCTTCTTCAGTCAACGTTACGGCCCCATCGAGCGGAGAGAAGTGTGCTGACGCCATAAATCCACTTTTCCACCATCAACAGGAAAATTCGTCGGGATCCCAGCCTCCCAGATAGAGGACGATGGTCTTATTGTTCGAGCTGGTTTTTGACTCTACAGCAAGCTGCGGTCTGAAGTGAAATTCCTTGAACATGTAGTAGGTGTGGGTGAATATCAAAAGGACATTGTATTCCTCCGTCTAGCGTCGGTACAGGAAATTGGTATTCATTTCTACAATTACCTTAGATATATAACGTATACTCCGGCAGGATTAGTCTATGACCTGACTAAATTAGCTTAATTTAGTGGTAAATGTGAACCATATAAAGCATTTAGAGTTACATATCACTCTTGGAATTGGTCAATGAGTAACGGCTCACACCAATAAGCATGGAATATGAGCTTATGCCCTTTGGCGATAGCATCAATATATTCTGTTGAAAATAGTCGCTCTAGTCTGTAGTTGTATTTGTAGTATAACTCGGAAGCCAATATTTTGACGAGGTTATGAGGTAACACAAGTGGGAAAAAATTTTTTACCTGCGCGTTGTTGTCTGCATAGCAAAGAGCGGACACTTCGTTATTTTGATCAAGTGGTGACATAAACAGAAGCAATATCGTTAGACAATATGCTCCGCTGTCCTTGATAGACTTCATCAACAATAGAGTCAACACAAGAAGCCACGCCGTGGATTAAACAATGCACTCTTGAATAAAATACAATGGAAGGGTTTAGGGTTTAGGGTTTTTTAGGGTTTAGGGTGACACTCATGACATGATCCGTCAAGATTCGCAATAGCGTAAGGAGTAAGAGATCCGATGACGCAAACATCATCAATGAAAGAGTTAGCTTGTTGTTGATCCAATAACGTTATGAGTTCCTAAACTGAACGGAAAGAAATTGCTATTTTTGAGTAGCAATGATGTATAACAAACAAATACATCTAGGGGGAGCCGAAGTTGATTGTTTAGACTCTATATGCACAAGCAACTAAGTTTGATAAATCTTGAACCACTTAATATTCTCTCTAGATTGCAAGCAAGTGACGGTTTGAGAGTAGATTGTCTACATTTATGCAATTAAATTCTGTTATCGCACCAAATGATTTTAAATGAGGTCATGACTGTGGTAACCCACTTTTTGTTTTTCGTCGGAACTAAAACATTTTTGAATAGTAAGTACCGCGGTAGCAGCTGTAAATAGTAATCGGTATGCGAAACCAGAGTAAAAAGAGTATCGAGTACAGTCAAGGGGTTTTGGACTTAGGCCACCGTGGGACGCTTGGGACGGAACGGGCGGTTCATGCTGCAGGATCCGCTTCGAGCATCTTCGGCGGTAGATCACTCATAACTTTTTCAATTCGTAACGCCTTGAGTTGCTTCGGGTCTTGTTAGAAAGAGCTCGACGCGTTGGTTCTAACAAGCCCAAAAACTTGTGAAACGGATGAGAGATCACTGAGTTATGAGTGTCGGAAGTTACTGATGGGGGGCCTTCGGCGGTAGAGCTACTTCGGCGGAAGAACCGCCGGAAGATGCGCCTTCGGCGGTAGACGCTTTCGGGGCAAGGGCCTTCGGCGGAAAAGTGCCTTCGGCGGAAGAGTGAATCCCTCATAACTTTCTCAATTCAGAACTCCTTGACTAGGTTAGGGTCTTGTTGGAAAGAGCTTGACACGCTCGTTCTAACGAGCCCAAGAACGCCTGAAACGGATGAGGACTCATGAAGTTGTGACTGTCGGAAGATGCGAAGACGAGCGCTTACGCATAGGCAGAAGGAGTTCGTCGTTGGCGGGAAGTCCGCCGGGAATTCCGCCTACGCATAGGCGGAAGGAATTCACCTACGCGTAGGCACTTCGCCATCGGCGGAATATCCGCCTTCGGCACTAGATGTTCGCCCTCGGCGACAGACGTCTTCGGGTCAACGCCTTCGGCGATGTAGGAGAGTGTATTCGACGGAAAAATGAATCCCTTATAACTTTTTCAATTCGTAACGTCTTGACTCAGTTAGGGTCTTGTTGGAAAGAACTTGCGACGCTCGTTCCAATGAGACCAAGAACTCTTGAAACGGATAAGGCGTCACTGAGTTATGAGCGTCGAAAGCGGCTGTCATGGTTAGTAGAGACGACTTCGGTGTTAACATATAGAGAGGCCTTCGGCCCAAGGAGTTGCGCATAGGCGGCCTACGCATAGGCAAGTTGCGAGTGGAAGCCTGTGCATAGGCAAACGCCTTCGGCGGAAGAGTAAAACCGTCATAACTTTCTCAATTCTAAACGGTTTGACTTAGTTAGGGGCTCGTTGGAAAGAACACAACACGGTTGTTCCAACGAGCCCAAGAACGTTTCAAACGAAGCAGGGATCTGTGAGTTATAGGTAGGCAAAGGTGCGGAAGGGTGTCTTCGGCGGGAGGATGCCTTCGGCGCCACGTGGCAGAAGATTCCCGATAGCGGAAGTTGGCGGGATTATGTCAAGTGTGGGACGCAGAACGGCGGGGCGTGAAGTTGCACGTGAGGAGCAGGCCGTTACCCATAATCGCGGGAACGGCATTCAAGCGGCATGTGGGTACCCCGGACCTCGGATTTTGGAGAAGGAATTTTGGCTTAGGTTCAGAGATCTTGCGGGGCCCATATATTTGCGATGGACGGTTGGATAGATCTGAAATTTGGTGGGGCCGTTGATCTCAGACGGCCACGCATGCCTGCAAATTTTCAGCCTCAGATCTTGGATGGAAAGGCGCTGGCGGTTCTGTACAGTAGGCTTAGGATTAAGATTTAGGGTTAGGGTTAGATTTAGGTTGTAAGTTAGAGGGGAAGTCAGCCGCCGACTCCTCAAGTGTAGGATCTGTTGCGGCTCGCACCATGGCATAGTGCAGTGTAGTGCTAGTTAGGACTTAGAAGGTATAAAGTAGTTCAAGGCGTCTTGCCTTGGGATTTTGTGAGCACAAAACTGTGCTCACATGTCTTTTTAACCTTATGAGAGTTAAAAGTTTAGATTTAAGCTCTTGCAAAGTTGTGCTTGTAGTTTTCTGGAAGTTTTGGCAAGATTAGGAGTTGGTGTAATAGTTAGTAGACAAAGGTGCGGAAGGGGGCCTTCAGGGCAGGGTCTCCGGCGAAGTGCCATCGGTGAAGTTCCTTCGGGGAAAGGCCTTTGGCGAAACAGTGAAACCCTCATAACGTTTTCAATGTGTGACACCTTGACTCAGTTAGTGTCTTGTTGGAAAGAGCTCGCGACGCTTGTTCCAACGAAACCAAGAATTCTTGAAACGGATAAGGCATCACTGAGTTGTGAGTGTCGGAAGTTACTGATGGGAAGGGTTAAGGCGAGTTCGGCTTCGGACGTCTTCGGCTCCGGACGCCTTCGGCTGCGGACGTCTTCGGCACCGGACGTCTCCGGCTTCGGACGCCTTCGGCTCCGGACGGCTCCGGACGTCTCCGGCTTCGGACGCCTTCGCGACAACTGCGAGCAAGCCTTCGGCAATACGAGGTCGGCGAACTCAGAGTCGGCTAACTCCGAATCGGCGAACTCGGGGTCGGCGAGCTCGGGGTCGGCGAACTCCGAGCCGGTGAACATCGTGCAGGGGCCTTCGGCGATACCAGATAAGGGGCCCTTGGGGGAAGGGCCATCGGCGAAACAGTAAAATCGGCATATCTTTTTTATTTGTTAACGGTTTGACTTGATTAGGGTCTCGTTGGAAAAATCTCGCGACGCTCGTTCCAACGAGACCAAGAACTCTTCAAACGGATAAGGCGTCACTGAGTTATGAGCGTCGAAAGCGGCGGA